TATCTTTGTGCTTGACTGGCGATTACCGCCTCATAACAAGCATCACCTGTGGCCATTTGCGTCATACTTTCCCGGACAACTCATGTAGCGGGCTGTGTGTCTACCCAGCATCAGTCGTTAAGGTATTACAAATCACTCCGGTGGTTAAATCCAAAAAAACAAAAGGTGATATCGCTCTTGCTTACATCCAGTAAAATTATACCGGGGGATCAAATGAGACAAGCAGGATAGAAAATGACGTCTTTAACTCGTCTTTATAGATAAACAAGTCACAAATTCATAACCTATCTTGTTATCCATTTAAATAGCCAGATGACGCACTCAACAGAGATTTCTACCCATTAAATCAGTCTCATGTCGTCTGTCTTTCTTTATCTATCTGTCTTTAGAAAAACCGGTTTTACGTACATTTGGCAGTCTCAAAATTTTAACTCTGTCCATACCATGCCGAAAATGCTGATTGAAAGATTTAAAGGTCCATCTTTCCAAACCTGGTCTCCTGAAGTTTATAACTCTACAAAAAAGCCACTGTATACTGAATCCTTAAATCCGAGCTCTTTTAGAACCGTAGTTCAGTAAGCTTCCAAAAGGCCAGTTGTATTCACTTATTCAATATCGGACATCATGTTATAGATTACTAGTTGAGCTAGGCAGATGGAATAATATAGCCTTAGTGGAATGAACCTGTAACCTATGTCAGAATAACTGTGTTAGTGATGAATACCATGCACTTTTGTGTTGCGATTTCTTTAGCGAATAAAGAAAAAAACTGTTGTCACCATACTTTTATGTTAATCCAAACGTGTTAAAACTTGGTACTCTATTTAGAAGTAAGAACAAATCTGTACTTAGAAAGTTAAGTAAACTCTGCTCTCCCCTCGTGCTACAAGTCCTCCTAGATAAGCAAATACTCCCCTATATCCTGTCTATAATGGTTTTGAGTTAGTGTCTACATAAATATAGTCAATTGTCCTACCACCGTTCATGGTGTTTTTTTAATAATATTGTACATTGAACTTCATATGCCCCGGATAGTGGCCTGAGAGTGGTAAATGTTCCATTCTCCCCATCTCTGCTTATACACGTTTTCTTTGCATCTGTCACCAGCTAAAGACACCAGGCTCATCTAAGCCCCTTCATGAAAAGGCGTTCCTTTTGAACAGATTAGGTTGATATTTAGGGACATAATCCCTTTTGCTGGTCTATCCTTTCACGTGGCTGGTTGTTCTTGAGCCAACAGTTTCATTGTGGTTCCATTAGAAGTCCGAAAAGTTCCATCAGGACATGACGTGAATGTTTTCGCCTGTTCCACAGATCAGGAGTTTGTTTTGATATAAATCTGATGCCTTCTTTTTATCTTCAAGGCTTGATTTTCGGTAAACCTACGCCTGGAGCCATTACCGTACTTCTCCCGATCTCATAGTCCTCGCCCTGGATTTCCATCTCCCCGTTTGATTGGCTACGCTACCCGGTCTAACGTACCAATCAGAGCGTGTAAGAAACCAGCCTTCATGGGTTGGCAATATCTGCAACATAACATCGATTTTGCGAGAAATGTAATGTTTAAAAAAGTGCGACAAGCAAATGAAAGCCCCCTTTTTGATAGAAAGGATGTCTTCAAATCAATAAAATTGGCAATGGCTTTGCATTATAGGTAATACGAGCTACCTCCCTTACCCTTATGTTGACGTTTCATTGGTCAGTACAATGTAAATCATAGGAGAGAAAGAACCATGAGAATGCTTCCAGGGTTCAGTGTAGGTTTACCGAAATGAGAGTCGTGGAGAGATATAAGGCATGCTTCCGATGTCTATATGAAGTTCTCGACTGTGTAGGCTTTGGTGTAGATTTCGGGTAGATATGTGACACAAAGGTGTCGTGGCAAGGGTGGGGTGTCTTCGGCTCAGTAACGACACAGGGTTGGCTTGATGTAGGTACTCTAGAGGTGATTACAGATGTATCAAAATCAATCAAAACTTTATTTTAAGTACAAAGGCCATCATTTAATACAATTTGTGCACACACACACACACACACACACACACACACACACACACACACACACACACACACACACACACACACCACATGTAGTGTTGTCAGGCCAGAGTCCTAAACACAAACAAATTATTAGTGTTATGAAATAATCTTCCAATAGCAGTTTTGTTGAAATGGATATATTTCGTGATAAATATATTTTGTTGGTATTTACAAGCATGTTAACGTTGTTAATATGACAAATGATTGTGACCAATATAGAAATTATGACAATGTAATTATCTTATAGTTCTTTCTGGTAAATGGAAGGGATTGTCTTCGAGTTCTTCCGAATATGTTCACCACAATATTATTGTCAGAATACATGTGCTTACGCTGGTTCATGTTGGTGATGATGATGCCATCTTTGGTGCTGACAGAAGATCCTGCAATGTCTTCAGTGGAGAGTAGTATGTCTTCTTGACTATCCCTTGAGAATATGTGTGACCGCCGCGACCTTTTGCACTGAAATTTGTATTCACTTGTGCATTTGCCATATTGCAAAGACAAGACACACATTCCAACGTCTTGTATAATGTAGTAACATCGTTTTGTACCTTGTGTACTGAATGCTTTAAATATCGAAAACCAACGATGTTTTCTCTATAAAGCGAAGTCAATGTTATATTTCTTAAAATGTCCATGTAACTGCTAATCCCTTCAGCTGTCCGGATACCAGTTCATAATTGATGGGGTGGGATGCTGATCTTTATGGAGAAGCATGTGCAACGTGAATACGTAGAAAGTAAGTGACACCCCCCAAGCAGCATGTAATGTTCAAAATCAATGACCACCCACGGCCCCCACTATTCCCATTATGTTTAAGCATCGTTTTTAAATTTTGTCACGTACAAAATTGCTCACCCACACACACACACACACACACACACACTCACCCCTAAAATCATCATCACCCCCAGCCATAAATTATGAACGGTCCCAAATGTGATTTGTTTGGCTTCAGCTTTGAGCCGTACCCAATACAGCTGATGTATGCAATCAATTTAAAGTAAAGGATCATGTATAAACGCAGCAAATTGTGTCACGAACACCTGAATAAGGAAAATTGTTCACAGTTACATAGCTAATTACGACAACAATCAAAATTATTTCAGAATACAAAGTAGTGTGTGAACTATTTCAATTAACATGGCCGATTATATGATATTTATTACGTGATGTAAATTACATTATGCTTGCATTTTAAAACAACACAGTTAATAAAAATGAAACGTCGTACACCATTAGAGATTTGCTTGAGTGGGAATTGCCACACGATATAAACGATTGAATAACTGACGAGTACAAAAATAATTAGAAACTCTTAAGGTGCTTCCAACCTATATTGGAAAATTAAATGTGAGCTACATATTTGCAAAGGAATATGGAAATATGTATCTGATAATTTTCAGTGTTTCCCCACAAAAACATAAACTAAATCATATTCCGCGCATAGATCGCCTTAAGTTTTAGAGTTAACCGGGAGCAGTACAGCAGTAAAAGGGGTTTTACGAAATTGTGGACTGTTTATCCCAGTTCTGGTCGCTACACCCGTCAACACACACAAAACGTGAGACAGTAAACAACGCCAGTACCTGCAACAAATGGCAAACATAAAAAGAATGTAGTCTGTACATGTTTTATTTGTTTGCAAATACAGTTTACCTGCATTTTTATGTTAAACTATGTGAAGCTAAAGTTAAAATGAACATGTTGTAAAAATTATATGCATAATACGTCGGCGTATTTGCATATACTTTACTTAATTCACAACTTTCGAGACTGAGACTCGTGAGTACTGACCTGTGCACCCACAAGTGTTACTGTTTTAGTCGATTAGACTGTCCGTTTTTTATTGTGGGTACCTATCTCATTGTCATTGGTGACTGAGGTGAAATAAAGTTCAACTCAATTTTCCCTGCGCCGTGGAAATATATAGCCCGATGAATGAAAAAAATACTCTTACCTCTGCAGTCATATAAAAAACAAAGATCATCTTGGTTTTTCTTCGGCTATATATACACATGGAACAAAGTATCGCAACACCTCATATTTTATCAATATGTTACCATTAACAATTTAACCATAACAAATGAAATTATCATAACCTCACTAAGTTATTATCTGAAAAAAATGAAATTACGTTCCCAAACATGCTGTATGGGAAGGACATTTGGGCTTAATGACGAGTACACGTGGTGCACGTTATGCTCGCCTTTGATCTAAACAAGTGTCTATCTGCAATCAATGCATGTTGCACCCTAAAATCAAAATATTCATACAAACAAACATAATTATGATATGAATTTTAATGGCTATATGGGGGTTACAATCATAGACGTCGGATTCCTTTATATGTATATGTTAAAAGTTCATTGACAAAGCAAAGCGACTCGTCAAAATTCTAAAATTCTAGTTATTTATTGACTGTATCAAAGCGTCGAAATACTTACATTTCCTGAATTAAGTTACATAATTAGTGAAAACAGATTTATATTTTTAATTGTTTTAGAGGATGGGTAGGGGAGGTTTCCTGCCCGCTGCGGTGCTGTGGAAAAACACATACCAAATATGGATGGCCTTACAGAAACAGAAAACTGACTTCTTTGTTTATAAACCTGACGTCAGATCTCGAAACGTATTTAGCAGCCTGCCTCCTTATAACACTGACGTTGCTAGGGAGGGGAGAGACCAAACACTGAATCTCTTTCATCATTGCTTTAAATCTTACAACATGTGATAAAAAATATATGATACTATCGTAATATTTCCTCAGTGTGAAATCTGCAACTGTTTACTTCAGCCAAGTCATCATGAGATCTGAAACAAATTAAAGTTATTACTGCCTTTCTGCTGTGTATAACGTTTGTCATTAATTGTTGATTCCATGACCCGGTTGCTGGGAAACACATCCGTGATGGGAAACATGAATGGGAGGGACGTATATAGCGGTTGCAAATATACGCTGAACTTTGATATAAGCTGTGACGGGGAGTCGGATACGAGTCTCGCTGTACGAAGCAGCGGATTTTGCTCTGTTTACCTGCTACATTTTTTGCCTTGAAGGAAGCAGCCCAAGCTTGATAGCGGCAAATATTTAACTACTCCTAGCTAGTCCGACCAGTGCGTCGGCCTGCACTCTACAATGGCCATTATTTGACAAATTCACCTATCAAGTGTGTTATAATGATGTCGACTGGACTCGGAACGTTTCACTGGATGTTCATATACGCCGCCTCATAACACGTACTTGACGTCACAAATATCGATCGTCTGCTTCCCTGACCGCCGCCTGTCGTCTGCTCGCTCTAGGGTTGCGCGGGACATACGCTATAGGCAGGTAAAACAAAATGTCCGACTATAAAACACTGAAGGAGAGACAGCTGAGGATTGGGGGGCTGTATGAAGATGACGATTTCCCCGCTGATGCCAGGTCGCTGTACTATAAAGGGGAAGGGTCGCCATACGTACAGTGGAAGAGACCTAAGGTAAGGTTGTATTATAGCCAACGGATAACAGGGACGATGATTCAGTGAAGTCTATTGTTTCATATGGGATAAGGAAATTATTCATACACTACATTCATTTAGCATAGCATCCGACCACTAACATCTCTGTATAGCGATGCTGTACGGTACAACGAGGAACATAAATACACCCCAGTTTCTGTCATACAGCATAGAATAAGTGTTAAATTTCACTTGGCGCATGAGTACTTATCCATAGTGACGACTTTCAAGTTATTGATTTTGTACCTTGTGTACTGAATGCTTTAAATATCGAAAACCAACGGTGTTTTCTCTATAAAGCGAAGTCAATGTTATATTTCTTAAAATGTCCATTTTTACAACTTCGGAGAGAGCAAAATGTTCACTTTACTAACAGGTGTTAATCCAACGTGCAACCTTCTTCCTAGTCAATCAGCCTTGACGCGGGAAACTGTTATTACCTTTGCTTAGACGCATTGTGATGCGTTGAGTAAATAATCAAACTTCAAAAGTGTGCTGTTCATTCCAGCAGTCAACGATGACTCACGCCCTTACGCAGAAATGTACACGGTTGGGCCGGAGGTTCCTTACCATGTTACTTCCTTGTAGTATGTTGATAATCCGTTTAGAATTTCATTTATGTTTATTTTAAATCATTAAATCAAAACCGACATTTAACATGTAGGAATTTTGATAGAGAGATCACAGCAAGTAATCCTGTTGCATTGATCCGAAGTCATCTATTTGTTTTGATTTAGAAGCATTCAGTGGTGACAAAATTTTCACATGTATTTATATGAAGTGCGCATCACGGTTGATATAGAAATGAATAGGTTAATCAGAAATATCCCATCGTATACCACACTAAAGGTGTATATGCTAGTGCATAAATGGCACAGGCTTATGGTAATAGAGGGAATGTGTACAATAAGAAACTGGCTTAAACCATGTATAGCCACCATGACTACAATACAGGCATGTCAAACATTGCCCGGTAACTCATTAACTATAATTTTGTAAGCAGGTAATTATACATGTCTTCACACGCTATTGCATCTAGGCGTTGAAAGTAATTATATGTAAACCGGTAAACCAAGTTACTTGTATATTGTGGAAGGGCGACCTGGCCGGTTGTATCATATGTCGTGCACAATGTGTGAGAGTTGAGACGCTCTGACTGGAAGGACAGGTGTAGAAACCGATTGTCGTTCACCTGTAGGTCGACCCGAGTCCCACGGTAGACACCAAGGGATCATTACCTTACTTGTGATGTCATTTATTACCTGAGCATGCTGTTATCGTAGGCAATGATCTGAGCATGACCCTGGGAATTAACGCGCTAGGTGTGGAACGATTACAAGTGCAGAGAGAGGGACTTCCTAAAATTCAGTACGATAAAGAATATAATATATGTATAGGTGATACAGCGTCCACTCCCAACATGGCAGTAGCAGTAAGTGCCAGTAACATAGTCATTCCTTCGGTTCTCAAAGTCTAAGGTACAATTCTTTGTGAGCTAACACATAGTTTATTCCCTGAAACCCATGTGTTTATTCCTTCTATATTCACCCATTCACAACCCTGTAGACAACACCAGGCTGTAACACTATACTTCTATCGGCTGAGTGACTCACAATACTGTGCACCATAACATAGTGTCTTCTCACCTTTGTTCTACCTCATCGACATGTGTAATGCACACGTGTTAACGTTGGGTTTAATATTTCGATCGTTAAGTTTGAATTATTATAATTTTGTCACTCTGTCCAACACAGCATCTGCATCTGCCATTAAGTCTCACCTTATATTCAGCACAGCTGCAGCTGTTGCCTCGTCAGCTGGACTCGGTGACCCTAGTGCACAGCTTGCCGTAATAAACTCTATCTAGGATGAGACAGCTATGTTATGAATATTTTTATACCAAGGAAGTGTGTCCCTTCCGTAACCACTTTGTCTGGTATTGTTTAAAGTAAAAGGAAGTTACAATATTGAAATGGAACCCATGTGAAGTCGGAGATTTAGAAGAAATTCTAGAGTAATTTGGACATGAATTAGTGGATACAGTGAATGCTGCCTTACACCTCCTCAAAGCCACACACACGCAAACACATACGCAGTCACACATATACAGACACACATACAGACACACATATACAAGCACACACATTCAAACGCAGACAGACATAGGAACAGAAACAGACAGACATACACATACACACATACATACATACATACATACATACATACATACATACATACATACATACATACATAAATAAACACATACATACATACACGTGCATACACATACATACATACACGTACATACACACACATACATACATACACACATACACGTACATACACATACATACATACATACATAACATGTAGGTACAAAGAGAGAGGGCGAGACAAACACAGCACCAAAGTCAACCCAACGCACCTAATGTGTACTTTACTGAGAAAGTGTAATCCCAAATATAACGTGTTGCATCTGACCACTTTCTGGAAGACGTGTATCATGGCTTCGGCGATGGAAGCCGTGCCAATCTACACTTGTCGGAGGGGTACACGAAGTACAGGATCAAGGCTAACAGTTGTCAAAATTCCCTTTTCTGTGGAAGTGAGCTGGATCGCTTACTTTGTGTGCTGTCGATTATGTTCCTTACTCTAAAAGTGTGGTGGCGAAACCTGGATGGGCCCTCAAAAGTACTAGCATCGGTAATTTACTGAGTAAGTGTAATCCCACTTTCTAAAAGGCATTGTGTATTCAAGTTAAACTAGGGCAACTAAACACAGGCAATATAGGTAGTCTTTGCCCTATACAGGGATTGTAACTTAATCGACTAAATAAGTGCGTTAATGGACCGAAACAGTATTATACTGGTCGTAAATTGTGCTGTAAGTCAATTTTGTTTCAGTGCTGAGTCGGATTTGCAAAGGATGTGGGATCATTGGTGTTCAAATGAATTACAATGCATACCTACCAATAGCATTTGTAACTATAGTGAAATGTATTCCACTTAACGTGGGAACATCACGGACCTGTGAAACCTGTTCTGTTCCCTACTACTGAGTTACTAGGGGATTATGATCAATATAGAACCTTTCATTAAAAGTTTTATTCCACCATAAATGCTCTAACATGTTACAAAACAACAATACTGGAGTACTGGGTAAACCAGTGCACGTGTGTTATGACCTTAAAGCTAGAATGGTCTTAACACACGTGTCCTCGACTAGCAACCATCTACGGGTAAATCTTGCAGTATGGTCATTGCCAATATACACAGGGGACAAGCACGTTCAAGAATGTGTGTCATTGTTATGGAAAATAAGTACACAATACATTCTTGAGTCGTAACTTATTCCCAGGAATACGTAGACTTAATCTACTTATTTCAGGCAACTTATTCGAGAATGTACAATTACAGTAAATTTCCCAATCCACCAGTACGCCCTTGCAGTGAATCAGTAATACACTTGATATTGGACAACACCAATGACTCATGTAATACTCGCTGACACCAGTAAAATCTTGTTTCAAATTCTTATGGCTTGAAAATATATCATATAATCTCCGATGGCTGACACACACGCATCTAAATGTTAAACACTTACACTTTGTCACATCATTTTACAAACAAGTGTATGTCATAGACTCATTTCATTAAATCATTTCCATTAAATTAAATGTGAGTGACTGTGACTAATGCCGCTTGTTGCATTACGTACACAATATCATGACGGAAAGGGGCCGCTCACTTTGCATCTATGCAGAATCGAACCCGGGGCTTCAGCGTCACTAGAACATGAACCACAAGGCTACCTCATCACCCTGAGCATAATAAAGATTGTCAGCTTCTCAGGTTGCACTGTTTCGAAACCCAAAACTTCAGTGTTATGTCATATTTCTTGCAATAAATAAATGATGTAAATTACAAAACCGGCATTTTATACAGATTACTTAACTACCTCAGTAAAACGGAAACAAAACTCTATAACCAAATAACGGACGAATGGTGTTTTGGGAGGCCAAATGACCATCCAGTGCATTTGTTTGATGCTCCGTGAGGCATGGTGTACGGATGAGCGGTATTATGTAACACTCCTTTATACAATAACGGTATCAGTATCATCAGGACTTGCACACAGAGTTGTTCTACGGGATAGCTACATAACCTGGGGGCAGGGCAGCGGTATTTGTCACAAGGCATTACTTGGGGCAGTCCATATATGTAAAGTAATTACTCGACCATGACGCCAGACAAGCCGAAGGGGCTGCTTCGTGACGACAGTCTGCCCTTGCGTGGGTTTCAATACGGATGCACTCACCCTCATCTATTATGCCTGGTCCTTAAAATGTCGGTGATAATGTCACCTGCAGGTTTTCGATTGTAAATACTGACATAGGTGACTTTCATCATGTCATTATCATAACAATATGTAGGTTTTGTTCATAGCGAGTGAGTTGGGGCTGTTACGCCTCTTTATACTCTATAACGGTAATATCACCATATGAGATTTATAGAAGGAAGCTCACAAGTGAAGATGATCTTACAATTTGGTGAATGCACTGACATGGTGGAAGGGACCATCGATGTAATACGATGGACTTTCTTGATAGAGACAGTGTATGTTTTTCGTCACTGCTTACACAAATATATCTCAGAGAGATGGAGCCTGTGTGCCTTTTTCCACAACACATTGTTTCAGGACATTCAGCGTGTCAAGTGTGTAACATATTTTTTAGGAAAAATCTGACGACAAGCTTTTTCTCGGTCAGTTTTAACAAATAACAATATTACAAAAAGGTAATACATCATTGATGGCAGTCGCACATCTACGTTTTCAGACGATTAGGAAATAGAGACATATACTGAGGGGAAGAAATAAGGGAATGGCAAGATGAGGAAAGCATATGCTATGAACGAAATGGTAGATGTATTCGGAACGTAATACCAGCTAGACAAGCAGCTAAACAGACTGAGTAACAGTCAGTGACATATTGTTTTGGTATGGGTCATATTACTGAATACAGTCTCGGGAATGTCAGACACATATTTTCAGAAAACGCTGACTCCGCACCTGATTTCCTCCATCTCTAATAAGTACACTCAGACCTGACTGACTGTATGTCTAATAAGTACACTCAGACCTGACTGACTGTATGTCTAATAAGTACACTCAGACCTGATTGACTGTATGTCTAATAAGTACACTCAGACCTGATTGACTGTATGTCTAATAAGTACACTCAGACCTGACTGACTGATTGACCTGACTGACTGTATGTCTAATAAGTACACTCAGACCTGATTGACTGTATGTCTAATAAGTACACTCAGACCTGACCTGACTGACTGTATGTCTAATAAGTACACTCACCTCTGACTGACCTGATTGACTGTATGTCTAATAACTGGACTGTATGTACACTCAGACCTGATTATGTTCAATAAGTACACTCAGACCTGACTGTATGTCTAATGTATGTCCCAATAAGTACACTCAGACCCTGACTGACTGTATGTCTAATAAGTACACTCAGACCTGACTGACTGTATGTCTAATAAGTACACTCAGACCTGATTGACTGTATGTCTAATAAGTACACTCAGACCCTGACTGACTGTCTGATTGACTGTATGTCTAATAAGTACACTCAGACCTGATTGACTGTATGTCTAATAAATAAGTACACTCAGACCTGATTGACTGTATGTCTAATAAGTACACTCAGACCTGACCTGACTGTGTATGTCTAATAAGTACACTCAGACCTGATTGACTGTATGTCTATGTACACTCAGACTGACTGACTGTATGTCTAATAAGTACACTCAGACCTGATTGACTGTATTCTAATAAGTACACTCAGACCTATGACTGTATGTCTAATAATAAATAAGTACACTCAGACCTGAATGACTGTACAGACCTGACTGACTGTATGTCTAATAAGTACACTCAGACCTGATTGACTGTATAATAAGTACACTCAGACCTGACTAATAAGACTCAGGACCTGACATGTAATGTCTAATAAGTACACTCAGACCTGATTGACTGTATGTCTAATAAGTACACTCAGACCTGACTGACTGTATGTCTAATAAGTACACTCAGACCTGACTGACTGTATGTCTAATAAGTACACTCAGACCTGACTGACTGTATGTCTAATAGACCTGTTGACTGTATGTCTCACCTGACTGTATGTCTAATAAGTTACTCACCTCAGACCTGACTGACTGTATGTCTCTAATAAGTTACACTCAGACCTGACTGACTGTATGTCTAATAAGTACTCAGACCTGAACTGTATGTCTAATAAGTACCTGACTCAGACCTGATTGACTGTATGTCTAATAAGTACCTCAGACCTGATTGACTGTATGTCTAATAAGTACACTCAGACCTGATTGACTGTATGTCTAATAAGACCTACCTCAGACCTGATTACCTCAGACCTGACTGACTGTATGTCTAATAAGTACACTCAGACCTGATTGACTGTATGTCTAATAAGTACACTCAGACCTGATTGACTGTAATAAGTATGTCTAATAATAAGTACACTCAGACCTGATTGACTGTATGTCTAATAAGTACAGACTCAGACCTGATTGACTGTATGTCTAATAAATACTGTATGTCTCAGACCTGATTGACTGTATGTCTAATAAGTACACTCAGACCTGATTGACTGTATGTCTAATAAGTACACTACTGTATGTCTCAGACCTGATTGACTGTATGTCTAATAAGTACACTCAGACCTGACTGACTGTATGTCTAATAAGTACACTCAGACCTGATTGACTGTATGTCTAATAAGTACACTCAGACCTGATTGACTGTATGTCTAATAAGTACACTCAGACCTGATTGACTGTATGTCTAATAAGTACACTCAGACCTGATTGACTGTATGTCTAATAAGTACACTCAGACCTGATTGACTGTATGTCTAATAAGTACACTCAGACCTGATTGACTGTATGTCTAATAAGTACACTCAGACCTGACTGACTGTATGTCTAATAAGTACACTGATTGACTGACTGTATGTCTAATAAGTACACTCAGACCTGATTGACTGTATGTCTAATAATGTCTAATAAGTACACTCAGACCTGACTGACTGTATGTCTAATAAGTACACTCAGACCTGATTGACTGTATGTCTAATAAGTACACTCAGACCTGATTGACTGTATGTCTAATAAGTACACTCAGACCTGATTGACTGTATGTCTAATAAGTACACTCAGACCTGATTGACTGTATGTCAGGACACATTTCTGTCTCTAGTTATTTTGAGGGTGAAAGTTTAGTAGTTTGTTTATTGTTAAACGCCGCACTCAGCAATACTCCAGCTATATGACGCAGGTATGTAAATAATCGAGTCTGGACCAGACAGTCCAGTGACTGACATTACGAGTATCGATCTACGCGACTGAGAAACAACTATATGCCTCAGCTATGCCATTGCCTGATGTTGCAAAACCAGTAACTGGCACTAGTCATGCTGCTGTATAGCTTACCATTGGTCACACTAGTTCTCACGACAGCATTTGTGCCTTGCAGTCTGTTTTTGACGACGTGTTAAAGTGTTCACTCACCAAACCTCACCCATGCTTTAAAGTAGAAACTAATTTGATGTACGTGAACCAGGGTCTTTTAATGCCATATGGTGCGGTTAATTGTAAAAGTCGGTTCATATCAATACCGTTTTCAAAACGATATATTTTTTTTTCAGGAAATCGCCAAGGACCCCAAGTTTATCGTCCATGGAGCCAAGTACTATGATATGCAGCAGGGGGAACTCGGTATGTAGAATGTTTGTTAGCAACATGGATGGTTGTCACCATAATGTAGACCTGTAAGACACAGTCAGCCTTGTCCAAGACACAGTTAGACTACTCCAGACTCGTGGAAGCCTCTTTGTAGCTTGTCCTAGTTGAAAAAACACAAATGTTAAGCACTAGTATGTCTTCACATTTTCTGTCACTATTGCGAGTTCGTCGTGTCATTCCAAAAGCTGGAAAATCTACTATAGCACTGTGCACCTTGCGCATTGATCTATACCTCACTCACTGCTATATTTATGAATGAGAGATTCAGATTTGAACAAGGTTGCAGAGGAATTATGAATAAACAATAACGGTATCGTATGTAAGGGAAATCGGGCAGATGAACACATTTCCAGAATGGTGTTAAGCGAAACATAGAAAATGCATGGAGTATTAATACGCTGGCACTACGCTGAATATACAAAATAGGTCGTGACCTTGCTGCATCGATCATTTCGCCAATACCACCAACCTGAAGTCGCTGATACTGTCGATGGAACTAAGCAGGAAGGTACAAAAAAGTATTAAACCGTAGAAAGCTGTCGACAAAGATTTTTCGTTTTTTTATGTCCATTGTGTTAAATGCCTATTATCTACGGTAAATGATTAAATAAGCAATATTCCAGGATGGTTATGAAATTGACTCTAAACAGTGTGCCGGGAATCGGACCAGGTGTCTCACTGACGGGTAAACGCTCGACCAAACTGACGACCCAGCCGCCCCTGATTGCTATGGATACGCACTGATAATCACAAACGATTTAAATAAATGCCAAATGTTTTACATTTCTTTGAACTTCATTTGGTGCTGTGGCAGGTTTTAGGTTATCATGCCAGATGATGGGATCGATCATTGATCACGTGACACCGCATATCTGCCTACTTAAGTATAACATACATACAAAAACAGTGTGTCAAAATGTTTTAATGGCTTCCTTCCTTGTCTTATTTGTATGCTCTTCGGTGCTTTTTCAAGGTTCAGTCCACTAGTTGCTATGCGGAAACATCATTAGATATATACTATCCCATGCATCTTGCATCTTTTATGAACTGGGTTGAACAATCCTATCAGAGTGTGAATTATCTCTAAACAGTTTTTGAAGGTCTCCCTAAACACACATAACATAAAGCAAGGTTGAATGCCCTGTGTTCCTACACAGTCAGCTTCTCTGTTTGATTTATGAGTATCATCGAGAAAAGATTTTTTTTTCTTATTTTTTAACATTTACAGTAACACTTTCTGAGCTGTGGCACTTGACTTGGACAAACATGCCATTTCTCTGATACAGTCCCTTGTTAAACATCGTCTTTGAATCAGGGAGGAGCTCACACCAATTATCTTCCCTTAACACTTTCCATCAACAAGAGTGTTTACCTGAGCTAAACAACGGAGGAAACCTCAGTAACAAAAGATGCCCACCTGGTTGTAATTTGTTCAGATTTATTTATTTTTCCCTTTATCATACCTAATATATTATATTCATTCGGTAAAGGATATAAATTTGTTTTATTAAAGATATTATTCTTATCAGGTTTTCTAAGGAATTGCACACCCACACATCTCACAGCACATACATAAAGCTCTAGAGAGGCTGGTTCTACTTCAAGGTTATGTCAACATCATCACTCAGGGCTTGGTGTTGTATTATGTACACATGACAACAGAAGAGTAGATCTGACACTGCACACACCCAGGGCAACCTCTGTACAATACTTCCCACAAAATGCAGTAGTTGCTCTGTTGAAAGATGCGAGAGGCAATCTAGCCCATCTCTCGCACGTATCAAGTGTTTACAAATTTGAAAGGTCATGTAACGACAATAGCGCGTGTTAAATGCCTGTGAATGGCACACGACTCTCCATCTGAGACATTGTTCTTAGCAGTCCAATATATATGACAGAAGTTACTACACGTTTAGTCGTTTTCAGAGCATCCCCTCATCATCTCGCCGCCATTACGCGTCTACTTTGTTTGTTGAAAGGGAAGTTATAAGTTTTCTTTTCAAATAAACTCTAGGACACTTAAAACAGCTCAGCTCAGGTGCCATTACACAAAGCGACCTTAGCCCAAAGGTTATCGTAACTCGGTTACCTCAACACAGACTTACAAAAGTAAGACGGCTAAGGTTGTTTGTGCAATGGGGACCTTCGTAATGACGTGTGGTAGAATATGAAAACTAAATGAGTGGATGCAGCGACTGTTGCTAGGGATTCCATCATTGTGAGAAGACAGGCTTATAGTCATGTATCAAGGCGTAGGTCAAAAGTTAGTCACGTGTCCAGGTACAGAATAAGCTGTGAAGTCAGATTTCTATGTAAAGGTACAGCGATAAAGTCACATGTCAAAACAAAGATTCAGACATGTAGATGCAAGATGAAATTCAAGATGTTTAACTGAAGAATTAAACATGAAGACATACGTAAATCCACTTGAAAACACCATGATCATGTAGGCAACTATAATAGTAAAAGTCTTTGATAAATAGATCTTCGATATTTCCTCCATAAAATGAAGGCTAGATTAAAAAAGCAACTGACGTTATAGGAAAGGTTCTACCTATTAGTATTTAGATTATGCAATAATTTCCACTGGGAACAAATTGGAGATGAACATACAGTATACTCTCCCAACTTGGAACTGAAGAGCTAATGACTACCATCAGGTCTGTCCAGATGTTATAATGTACTGCAACTTTAGAGTGATCAGGTATACCTCCACGTAGGAAGGACAAGCATGAATCGTCTTCCATCAACATTTCAACAACGTCATTTATGTCACGGACTCTCTCAAATAGAGAATTCCTTTCCCAGATTACGTTGGCATGACACAGACACTTGTTTTATGGTCTCGTGAGCAACTGTTCTGCATTGACATTCCTATGATTCTATAGAAGTTGCATCTAACTTTATACTTCTCTCAAAGTCAGGGAATCTCAGAGGTCTCTCGAGGGCGAATATCCAGAATCTATGTTCTCGTCCTGATGTTATCGTTAGATATCTGGAGAGAGATGACATTGTCTGTATCAATGTAGCATTTTTCTCCGTAAACGTAGAATCGCATATGTAATCATAGATCACGTGATCAGGTGAAGATGTAGAAGTAAGAATAATGGCAAAAGACCTTATACGTGATCAGGTGAAGATGTAGACAAAGGCTTAAGTAAAGGACGAAACCGCTAGTTTAATTTCCAGGTAAAGATGCATTCATGTAGACACTGGAGTAAGTATAATGACAAGCCTCTGACCCATGTCAAGGTAAAGATGCATTCATGTAGACACAGGAGTAAGTATAATGACAAGCCTCTGACCCATGTCCAGGTAAAGATGCATTCATGTAGACACAGGAGTAAGTATAATGACAAGCCTCTGACCCATGTCCAGGTAAAGATTCAGTCATGTAGACACAGGAGTAAGTATAATGACAAGCCTCTGACCCATGTCCAGTAAAGATTCAGATGTAGACAGTCATGTAGACACAGGAGTAAGTATAATGACAAGCCTCTGACCCATGTCCAGGTAAAGATTCAGTCATGTAGACACAGGAGTAAGTATAATGACAAGCCTCTGACCCATGTCCAGGTAAAGATTCAGTCATGTAGACACAGGAGTAAGTATAATGACAAGCCTCTGACCCATGTCCAGGTAAAGATTCAGTCATGCAGACACAGGAGTCATAATGTAGACACAGGAGTGTAGACACAGGAGTATATAATGACAAGCCTCTGACCCATGTCCAGGTAAAGATTCAGTCATGTAGACACAGGAGTAAGTATAATGACAAGCCTCTGACCCATGTCCAGGTAAAGATTCAGTCATGTAGACACAGGAGTAAGTATAATGACAAGCCTCTGACCCATGTCCAAGCAAAGCTTCAGTCATGTAGACACAGGAGTAAGTATAATGACAAGCCTCCGACCCATGTCCAGGTAAAAGTATAGTCTTTTAGACAGAGGCCAAAGTATAATTGAAAAAAACCGTCATGATCAGGTAGAGATGCAATCTTGGCGTAAGTAAAGGCCGAAACTGCTAGTTTCATGTCCAGGTAAAGGGCGGACTGTCCCACATTGCTATGTTTAGTTCCGTGACAAAGCTTAACATTATCATGTTTACATGTACAGGCTGGTCACCTGTCACCACGGTGTCAACTTTGATTTCCCCTTGGTAACGGACCGCCTTGCCAACCAATGTGAAAAAGATTCTTCTCTTGTCGTACCCTGGTATTTGGGTTGGATGTAAAGCTTTGAAGTATTTTGTCTTAGGGAGATATCCTTGATGTGTCTGTTAAATCATTTCAATACCACAAAGACGGAGACTACCATGACATATATCACTGTCAGAGTATTTCATGTCACCATGACAACGCACGTTCTCCGACTTGCTTTCACGTGTTTCTGAAGACGGAATACTCTTAGTGTATAGCAAAAACACTTAATGTACTTGTCAGGATATTGGTGACAAATTTCATTTTATCCTCAGTACAGCCGGGGGTTGCAATATATTTTATTTTAATTAGGGTCATATCGGATGTGATACAATTCAAGTTACTGGTTTCTATGCAGTCATGGAGGTAATACCCTGAGGATCTCGTGTTTTCAACCTGGGCAAACTTTCTGCACACTTCAGCCAGCATAAATGTATGCAGGCGTACTTCACAGGGTCTGTTCTTTCCGGAGAAGTTTTCGACATTTGTCTTCCAGTATAATGGGTAATTGATAGCCAGTTAGGAGTCACCGAAACGTTTGATTCTTCATACTTTATATATTCATTATTTGGGCAGTTTTGATTTATACTTGGACATTTGCAAGAGCTCATACAAGCACATGACATGGTGTCCAAAAGGGGGCACGTGACCAGCCCCTAATCCATTATGGTCCATTGGCACCAAGTTTTGACGGGAGGATATAGTATGACCAGAAATTATTGAGAATTTTAGGAATATGTTTAATTTGATTTCTAGTATAAACAACCTTGACCAGCTATCAGGTGCTTGGTTTCATTCAAGAGAGACAACTCCGTTAATCCTTTTTCATTAGTTTGTGAAGAGTTATCACCCTTTGTTTACTTGCTAGCAGACGACATTTTCAGTGATCCTCAGTATGGATGATTTAGAGAAGCGGAAGTTGATTTTAGAGTATTATAACAAGGACATCAGATCAGCTAACGTGATTTCAAGTAGAACAGGCATCCCTTTGTCCACTCTTTATCGTGTTTTGGAAAATATTACAAATGGATATGGCACTGAGCACCAGGGAGGCGCAGGTAGGCCCAGAAAATTGACTGTCTGTGACAGGAGGCGGCTTGGTATTCTTGTTTCTAAAAACAATCGAAGGAATTTACAAAACTTAAGGCTCGATATGATTGATAGAGGAGGTCTGTAAGGAGACAATTAGAATTGAGGTGCATGCAATGGGTTGGCAGAAAAGCCGGGGAATTCCATCACCGATCATGAAACCTGAGCAAAAGGAAATTCTGGACGAAACAAAATGAAAAACCTTTGTATCAGCGCCCAAAGTACAGTCCGAAATTTAACGTGTGGGGTGGCATATGTGTGTAAGGGGCAACGCCCTTCTGTGTATTTGAAGGGAATATGAACAGTGAGCGGTACACAGATATTTTTTACTTCCTGCTCAAGTGTTCTATAGACAAATATTTTCCAGCAGGACAACGACCCAAAACATCGTTCAAAGCATTCACAGGCCTGGTTTCGGACCCCAAATATGACATTATTAGATTGGCAAAGCTATAGCCCTGACCTAAATCCAATAGAAAACGTTTGGGGACTTATGAAGGAAAGTGTCAATAAGAAAAATGTGACAAATATTGCTGAAATGAAAGAAGAGGTGGTCCGATTTTGGGACAGCATGGACATGACTTTCTAACTTCTTTTATCAGTAGTATGCCCCGCCGCATTGAAGCCTGCATTGCTGCCCATGGTGACTTGACAAAATACTAACTGTTCACCTGTCTTTGAATCTGGAGATATGTTCTGCTTATATTCACATTTACTACGTGAGTAATGAGTGAAAAAAATATAAAAAATTACAATCTTAAATTCTCAATAATTTCTGGTTGTAATTCGACCGGGCTGTCATACTTACCAGATATTTGAGATTAGAGAGACCCCTAAGTTTAATCCCTACCGTGCGGCTTTGTATACCTTACATTATTATACTCCCAGGTTTATGCACCAAGTCTAAATTACTACTCGAGAAGTTTGAACATCACGAACTATATATTTCTCCTCATGAATGCATTTTATTTAATGCATCAATTTCAATTTTGTACAAAAGTAAAAAAATATAGAGAGTCCAAAGATATATTTAATGCACCAGGACCTAGATTTTCGAAGCTCTCTTAGCGCTAAGATAGTCGTAAGTTAATGTTAATGAATGGCACTTGTATCATATGAGTAGGCAAAGATATATACTGTACAAAAGTACACAAATATATAGAGTCAAACCATCCAACACCCCTTGCGTCTTTTTCTTTTTTTGGGTATGATCCAATGTTTTGATAGCTAAGATGACAGTGCCGATCCTTCGAATGCATTTTACTACTCTGAAATCAGAAATTCGACGGATCGGTACGCGACCCATGCCAGTATACGTCACCATCCAACCAGCAATGATCATAGTTATCCAGACTTTTCAATGTAAAGTTATTGATGACATCTTGTAAAGCCAAAACGACATTGTAAAGTCATAGCGGATTCATATGAGTAAGAATTATGATCGAACTCATATGATCCCTCATCATGCTATGTACATATCCAGAACAGTAATAAAGTTCCGTTCTCTTTTGTTCTGCCAGTCCTTTAGAAACACGATCATACTCCCATTTATTCATAATCGCTGAATACCCCAATCATAGTTTATACAAACTCTCGTTCACGTGTATTATCACTCTATGGGTTAAAGACGAAATCAAAAATAACATCCTGATCGTGTATAAAAAGAGATATTTTTTAAATTTATCTTTTAACATTTCTTTTAACACATAGTTATGTCTTCTCCAGGTAACTGCTGGTTTGTGGCGGGAGCCGTTTCCCTGGCGAGTTACAACCGGAAGCTGTTCAACAGAGTCGTGCGCACTGACCAAGACTTTGACAAGGATTACGCTGGTAAGTGTGTTTGGTACAATGAAAGCCTGTCAGCTAGCAACCAACACCCGTCGCCCACTGAATGAATTCACATTTACTATTGACTTTCATCAGATAGATTATCTGGCTTCATAATGCCTAACATAACATTACAAGTGGCAAAGTAAAATCGTAATTGACTCGGTAAAATAGCACTCAAAAATACTATTTTCAGACCCAAAATAAATTTTTTTATGAAGCTAGTGAACACTTTAGTTGTAGAAATATTTTTCAATACTTCGGCTTGATGCTCTGTATGATTCACACGCTAAACCTGGTGATTCAGACATTTAAAAGGGCGTTATCATCTCTCTGAAAAGGAGTGGTGGTCCTGGTGGACTATCTAAATACACCTGCTTCTTATCTCGCTTATGGTGAGATGACCTCAGAATTTGAAGATGGATCGAAGGTATTCTGTTCGGCAATTGTACATAGCAAAGAGCACTTCATAACATCAGAAAAGGTGTCCCGTAGTGTCCCTGTAATTTGTACTGATGAGTGTTAACTAATGGTGGGATCGGCAACCTCACATGTGTTTTGAGTGTAGGGCTTGAAAATATTTAATATCAATCTTGGTGATGGATGTTATGAACATTGCTATATGATGCACATAAAACAGTTACAGGTGGGACTTATAAGGTTCCAATCTCTCATCTGAATCGCTCAGCTTGCTATTTACACTTGAAACACAAGTATTTCAGAAAACAGTTACTGTGTGGTTAATATGTGACTATGACATTATTGAGACAACGTTAAAGAAATCAGTACAATATTAAAAAACTTCAGACCTAGATAGTGTGAGAGATTCCGGAAGTATGTCGTGGTACGTAGCTGGAGATGAACCGGGCATGTCACTAGTTGACATTGTTTATCAGAACTGTCAATTATGTATGCATCATGGACATATGAAAAGCTCAGTACTGTCAAACCAAATGCCGGTGGTCAAATGAAAATATATACTTCGAAATTAACACTTCACATGCTGTTACAGAGGCCATGTGCACGCCAACTGTTGTGAGATGCACATTGTTATATACATGGAACATCGTCTATGATACCGTGTCAAATGCGTCACCATCGAATTACCGTTTCATTTTAGCCGCCTTCAAACATAGGTGTAGACTTTCTTTTCCCAACTAGTTTAGTAATGGGCATGCGGAAAAATATAAGTACAATGCAAGATTTAAGATCAGTTGCGTACCTACGCCAAGTGAGACACGGGCATAAATCTCAATAAGATGAAAGTAAAATATACCTTAGCGTCAGTGTGCCCCCATAACTCCTCTGTCAGATCTTTGAGTTGCTTTTACGATAGACGCTTAAAGATATGAGTATATTTTACGATCGATTCACACAATTGTTGGAAGAACCATGTGTTTGTGTGAGATGTTTGTATTTGTCTGCTTGGTTATGGGACTTAATCGCCTGTCAACAACAAAACACAGTCTTATATAGCTACCCACCACGATTCCATAGTGTTTTTGTGCGATGCTTACCTTTTTAATTTCCAGATTCCAGAACAATATAGATCAGTTATGTAATTCATTAATCTGTAAAAATAGATATTCAAAACATGCTTTGTGAACCTTGTGCCGTATAACATCTTTTCTCTTTACCAATGTTCCAGAGGTTGTATTGGGTTACTTGTGTATTGTTTAACGCCTCACTCAGCAATATTCCAGGTGTATAGCAGCAACCAGTAAATATTCGAGTCTGGAACCGACAATCCAGTGATCGACGTTATGTGCTATAACCAATCAATGAATGTCATCGAGTGTGACCTCCCTGTTAAGAATACCCGCCTCTTACGTCCTGGAACCCTGTTTTAATCTAGAATGCACATGCATAGGGTTTTGTTACATTGTTTATTGCTGCAACCAACGATCATGTCCTCAGAGATAGTGGAAGCGACGTTGAATTGAACCCTCTCACCTAATACTTTACGTCCGAAGAGTTCAAGGACATTCATGCAGCTATTTGTCACTGTCCACTTATCGTATGTTCCTAATCACATTGTGACAAATGTTCTTATTGTTGCCAGGGATTTTCCGGTTCTATTTCTGGCAGTACGGCGAGTGGCGGGAAGTCGTGATTGATGATCGTCTGCCCACAAGGAGCGGCCATCTTATTTTCTGCAGCAATGAGAAGGAGCCCAATGAGTTCTGGTGTCCGCTCCTTGAGAAGGCTTATGCCAAGTAGGTCAACTAGGATTGGTTCTGGTCGGAATGACCGTCGGGATAGTGAAGAGTCGTTAATAAGCAATAACAATACAATATTTATCTTGACGTTAAGACCACAGAAATGACGTCTAATTGTTCTGTTTGTTCCGTGTACAATCCGGGGACGGAGAGGACCAGAAGATGGCTTTGTTGAACGAGATTTGGGGCATCGTGCGCCGACACCACTTGTAGACTCGATTGTTGCAGGTAGACGTTACACAACTGCTACATTGCTGACTGCTGAATGCAACAATACTCGCGTGCTGTCTATAGATACGATGTTACAATACATAATAACTTTATGAATGTGGATATAGGGGTGGAAATAATTTGGGGTGATATGTGTCATAAAACATGCAGATAAAACTAGTGTCACTGTTTCGAGAAAAATATCACAAAGGATTAAGATGTATTAAGATTAAAAGGAAAACCATCTAAACAAAATATTGCAACAAGAGATCTACACAGAAACATATGCAGAAAGCTTCATAAATCAATATAACAGTTCATTGTATATATTCCATTTAACGGAATGAATTTGAAGTAGAACTAGTACTGGTCTTTATTTATCCTTGAAGATCATTTGTAAGCTAAGGTTTCATAATGCTATTTCGAAGTGTATATTATTACGACTAACACACGGGGCATCCATATATGGCTGTAGCTCAGTGACGGGAAATTTCTTTATAATTTTGTACGTGAGAACAAAATGTGTAATTCAATCGGTGTCCCTTTGTGATATTGGGAGAATATTGCTGAAAGTGGCATAAAGCATTACTCACTCACTCCACAGGCTGTATGGCAGTTATGAGGCCATCGACGGAGGCCGGATCCATGATGCTATGGTAGACATGACGGGTGGTATATCCGAGCTTATCGACCTCGTTGAACACGTCCAGCCGCGGGACTCGCTTGCACGTGCCTTGCAGGACTGCAGCCAAATGAACACCTTGATTGGAGGGGCTATATTTGTAGGTAACACCAAACTTTCTGTGTAAAGCGTTTTTTCATATTACTTGGGTTTTGGATCTGATTCTTTTATGGTCCCCTATGTGTGTTAATACATTTTATAGAGTGCAAAGTATACCGACAATGCACGATAAATCCTATCTGCACAAGGCAAGTTTCTTTTCTAGCCAGAAAACGTCCCAACAAGAGCATGTTTTTGGTTTAATCATAATAACAACGCTACCGACTATGTTTCTATAATTTCCTTTTTCCTCTTCTGATTGTCATTTTTGGTTCGACAATTTTCGTGAAACTATATATCCCGTACACGAAGTTCATATACTGTTATGCAGTGTATTTCCAAATGCATCTAATGAATATGTCTCAGTTTCGGGAATAAATATTGTATTGTATATTCGAATCTGCGCATCAATATTGGATGTAAATGTAGCGATGCTGTGTTTGAAAGAGTGTTTTTCACCTATTTCTTTTCTACTGACTTTTATCATGCCATCTTTATTAAGAAAATGTTGCAGCTTGTTTGATGGAGAGTCAAACTATACATGTTAAAGTCAAAATGTTGAATACGCATTATTTTGATTCTGAGGACTTGAGTACCACCCGCAAGTGTTCCGTTCTGTTTTATCACTTGACAATTTACCTTTCAGAAAAAAATCAATTCCTTCCGTCGTGAGACCCGACGTCCCAACGGCTTGTATGAAGGCCACGCCTACAGCATCGTCGACATGGTCACAGTGCGTTACAACCTGTTTCTACTTGTGTCGGAATATCGTAGTTTGATTAAAAACCTTATCAATACCTTACTAGGTCATGGCAGATCTACCAGTATCACATGCATCACCATCGAATAGCCATTACATGTTTGTTTCATTCTAGTCAACCATCTACCATGGGGGTGGTGGGGTAGCCTTGTTCAAGCGTTCACTTGTCACGCCAAAGACCTGAGTTGGATCCTCAACATGGGTGCAATGTGTGAAGCCCATTTCTGGTGTTCCCGGCCGTGATATTGCTGGAATATTGCTAAAACGGCGTAAGACTAAACTCACCCACTCTAACACGGGTGTATACTTTCTTTTGCCTGGCCGTTTATTTAAAGTTCCAGTGATACAGAACGTCACCGCACGGTACACGACGGTTTCCCTATCCACAATACTGTACGTATTGCGGTATCACCAATCATCGGCCAAATCGAAAGTGTAGGGAAATGGTGACAGCATATTTTGGCTGGGTGTTTTAAACCTCAGCCGTTGCAGAGAAAGCGTATCAGCCAGATTGGATAAGTAGTAAATGTAATTGTGTCTTGGGAAGGCATAACAACTTATTGCATATCGCTGTACACCCGTTTTGTCATATTGTGATTTTACAGGTAGAGTTACACGGGAAGGAGGTGTTATTGTTGCGCCTGCGGAATCCTTGGGGCAGGGGCGAGTGGAATGGTGATTGGTCGGACGGGTAAGTCAATATACGTTTGAGTATAAACGTTTTATACCACCCCGGCAATGTTACAATCGTATAGTCCTTCAATATATATATATATTGCAAGTATATAAGACAGAGGGTGTAGGTGGTTACGGATAACTGTGTGTATTTTGGAAATATATATCTTAGTGTTTCGCAAAATCTAACTATGTTACTTCGTTTTTAATATTACAGAGTAACATGTGTATTGCGAAATGTATCCAGTATTTTCTTCATTTCAGCGACCTGAACTGGAAGCTTATTAGTCCAAAGAATAGGTCGGAGATCGACTACCACAAGAAGGCAGACGGAGAGTTCTGGTAAGAGAACAGTATCATTCAATGCTCGAACTTCTCAAGGAAAGGATTTTAAAGAGGAGCACCCCTATATACGGCTCATATATGCAGACATCTAAGTCTTTCCACAACAGAAAGTCATGTACTGCTGACTTCCCCAAACCAAAACTGAATTTGAACTTTGAGATTAATAGGTCGGGTCTTAATAATACATGAAAGAGTTTAGGTTTAGAGTATACCCTGTCCTTGAACCATAAATATATTTTCCTTCCACCTTAAATAAAGCTAATCAAGATTGTCCTCATATTCTAAGCTCCCATCTCAGTCTGTTTCCTTTTCAATTTAAATGTTGGTTTACTTTCATGTAAAGATTTTCCAAGGCTAAGTCTTAGTCTAAATATTCGGCAAACAGATTTCAGGCAGAACTGTCCATCGCAATTACGAAGGAGGTATATATGGTGAGATTGCACATTTCAACAGTGTACTTTATAACATCAGGATCAGTATTGAAGATTTCCTCAGGAACATTGACGAAATCGAGATGTGCCACCTTTACCCTGACGCCCTGACTCAGGAGATTGCAGTGGACACGGTAAGGCTTCTCCTTTCGTCATAAAGACCAACACTGTCATATTCGGAATGGTCCTTTCAGTCAGTATTTCAAGAAATGCCATTGGTTTCTATGAATGAGGCTAAACGATGTGTTCAGGACCCACAACCCAGTATTTGTCAGAACACCCAGCGTGTTAGATAGACGACTAACATGTAAACACTAATGGCTAATCAGCATACATTTGATATTTGCACAATATGGCGTTTTTATTTAGAGGTTGAAAAGGAACCTAGCTGTCTTCGTCTGTGGATAATCAGCAACAATAATACTATGTAATGGCGATACTTCGGATGTGAGGCACATATGTAATTCTGAAGTATTAGTATGGCCAAGTGGGTGTATGAGTGCCTGACAAATCCGTCGTTGTCGTTGTTGCAGAAGAAGAAGCAGTGGGAACTGAAGGAGTTTCACGGCGCCTGGATCCGAGGCGTCACAGCCGGAGGACCCCTGAAAAGTTTCACGTCAAGTGAGGATTCGTTATGTCTTTCTTACAGGGCAGTGCACAGAAAGCTTCTGTAGTCTTTGTCCATGTGGTATGCATACAATTTTCAAGATGAATCTTCACGATGGCAACTTAAATATAAACTACAAGCGAAATAGAAGTGACTTTAGGGACCTACACCACACTGATTACAATAGTTGATTGTATTGGTTCAGCACATGTCTTAGTTGAGTCTAATTCAAGGAAATATTATGTAATTAGGAAATGAGAGCCTTGTCCATACCAGTATCTGACTCTGATGACAAATTGTCTGTTATTCCTGTTATTACAGTGATTCATCTGTAATGACATTTGTACTGGCCACGTTTGCGCTAGTTTATTACGTCATGGTGTGTTAAGATGCGAGTCTAAATGTTTCTGAGTAATAAAAGGCACCAGTCGAGTGATTCCCTTAGGCTAGAAGAATTAATACCTGATCTAAATGCGTCACGATGAATTCCGTTGTTGTACAATTCGTGCACCAATGTTATAACTATCTCTTCTGTATAGGGTTAGGGTCGCTGACTTGGTCGACACATGTGATTATATCCCAGTTGCGTAGATCGATGCTGTCGATCACTGGATTGTCTAGTACAGACCGGCGCCATATAGCTGGAATACTGCTTAGTGTGGCGCAAAACTAAACTCACTCACCCTTCTGTATAGGAAAGCCAATAACAAAAACGAACGATTAAGCAGTGCTCTGAATAGGTTCTCAATACCCACCTCTAACACAGCGTCTGTTCGCAGGGTTGTTCTGGAAGAACCCCCAATACAAGCTGAGGCTTGACAAGATGGACACCAAGGCCAGCGTCGTTGTGTCTCTCATGGAGGTCAGCAACAAACTTATCAGGGATGTGGCTGATGTTGCTATAGGATTTGTAATTTTCAAGGTACGACGCTTCTCAATGTAATGTAATCTTCTCGGTGTAATATGTGTTCCACATCTTAGTCAGCGTTACAAATGGAGGTTCACATTATTAGCTCTAGTTTCGAAAATGTTCCTGTGATTGAATGTTGGTTTATGTCACCTCAGCTTATTGAGTATATTGAGGAAAAGGATTACTCTGGCATCTACCATGCTGAAGTTGAAGTATTATTCTGACACCTTGCTGAATATAAAGTATTACTCTGGCACCTACCATGCTGCAGATAAAGTATTACTCTGACACCTACCATGCTGAATATAAAGTATTACTCAGGCACCTACCATGCTGAATATAAAGTATTACTCTGGTACCTACCATGCTGAATATAAAGTATTACTCTGGCACCTACCATGCTGAATATAAAGTATTACTTTGGCACCTACCATGCTGAATATAAAGTATTACTCTGGCACCTACCACGCTGTAGATAAAGTATTACTCTGGCACCTACCATGCTGAATATAAAGTATTACTCTGGCACCTACCATGCTGAAGTTGAAGTATTACTGTGGCATCTACCATGCTGAAGTTTAAGTTGTACTGTGGCACCTACCATGCGGAAGTTGAAGTATTACTCTGGCATCTACCATGCTGCAGATGAAGTATTACTCTGGCATCTACCATGCTGCAGATGACGTATTGCTCTGGCACCTACCATGCTGCAGATGAAGTATTACTCTGGCATCTACCATGCTGTAGATAAAGTATTACTCTGGCATCTACCATGCTGAATATGAAGTATTACTTTGGCATCTACCATGCTGCAGATAAAGTATTACTCTGGCACCTACCATGCTGAAGATGAAGTATTACTCTGGCACCTACCATGCTGCAGATGAAGTATTACTCTGGCACCTACCATGCTGCAGATAAAGTATTACTCTGGCATCTACCATGCTGTAGATAAAGTATTACTCTGGCATCTACCATGCTGAATATGAAGTATTACTTTGGCATCTACCATGCTGCAGATAAAGTATTACTCTGGCACCTACCATGCTGAAGATGAAGTATTACTCTGGCACCTACCATGCTGAGGTTGAAGTATTACTCTGGCACCTACCATGCTGCAGATGAAGTATTACTCTGGCACCTACCATGCTGAAGTTGAAGTATTACTCTGACACCTACCATGCTGCAGATGAAGTATTACTCTGGCACCTATCATGCTGAAGTTGAAGTATTACTCTGACACCTACCATGCTGCAGATGAAGTATTACTCTGGCACCTACCATGCTGCAGATGAAGTATTACTCTGGCATCTACCATCCTGCAGATGAAGTATTACTTTGGCATCTACCATGCTGCAGATAAAGTATTACTCTGGCACCTACCATGCTGAAGATGAAGTATTACTGTGGCACCTACCATGCTGCAGATGAAGTATTACTCTGGCACCTACCATGCTGCAGATAAAGTATTACTCTGGCATCTACCATGCTGTAGATAAAGTATTACTCTGGCATCTACCATGCTGAATATGAAGTATTACTTTGGCATCTACCATGCTGCAGATAAAGTATTACTCTGGCACCTACCATGCTGAAGATGAAGTATTACTCTGGCACCTACCATGCTGAGGTTGAAGTATTACTCTGGCACCTACCATGCTGCAGATGAAGTATTACTCTGGCACCTACCATGCTGAAGTTGAAGTATTACTCTGACACCTACCATGCTGCAGATGAAGTATTACTCTGGCACCTACCATGATGCAGATGAAGCATTACTCTGGCATCTACCATGCTGCAGATGAAGTATTACTCTGGCACCTACCATGCTGCAGATAAAGTATTACTCTGGCACCTACCATGCTGCAGATAAAGTATTACTCTGGCATCTACCATGCTGCAGATGAAGTATTACTCTGGCACCTACCATGCTGCAGATAAAGTATTACTCTGGCACCTACCATGCTGAATATGAAGTATTACTCTGGCACCTACCATGCTGCAGATGAAGTATTACTCTGGCACCTACCATGCTGCAGATAAAATATTACTCTGGCACCTACCATGCTGAATATGAAGTATTACTCTGGCACCTACCATGCTGCAGATGAAGTATTACTCTGGCACCTACCATGCTGTAGATAAAGTATTACTGTGGCACCTACGATGCTGAATATAAAGTATTACTCTGGCATCTACCATGCTGAAGATAAAGTATTACTCTGGCACCTACCATGCTGCAGATAAAGTATTAGTCTGCCACCTACCATGCTGCAGATGAAGTATTACTCTGGCACCTACCATGCTGTAGATAAAGTATTAGTCTGGCACCTACCATGCTGCAGATGAAGTATTACTCTGGCACCTACCATGCTGCAGATAAAGTATTACTCTGGCATCTACCATGCTGTAGATAAAGTATTACTCTGGCATCTACCATGCTGCAGATAAAGTATTACTCAGGCATCTACCATGCTGCAGATAAAGTATTACTCTGGCATCTACCATGCTGTAGATAAAGTATTAGTCTGGCACCTACCATGCTGCAGATAAAGTATTACTCAGGCATCTACCATGCTGCAGATGAAGCATTACTCTGGCACCTACCATGCTGCAGATGAAGTATTACTCTGGCATCTACCATGCTGTAGATAAAGTATTACTCTGGCATCTACCATGCTGAATATGAAGTATTACTTTGGCATCTACCATGCTGTAGATAAAGTATTACTGTGGCACCTACCATGCTGAAGTTGAAGTTGTAATCTGGCACCTACCATGCTGAAGTTGATGTATTACTGTGGCACCTATCATGCTGCAGATGAAGTATTATTCAGGCACCTACCATGCTGCAGATAAAGTATTACTCTGGCACCTACCATGCTGAAGTTGAAGTATTACTCTGGCACCTACCATGCTGCAGATAAAGTATTACTCTGGCACCTACCATGCTGTGGATAAAGAATTACTCTGGCACCTACCATGCTGAAGATGACGTATTACTCTGGCACCTACCATGCTGAAGATGAAGTATTACTCTGGCACCTACCATGCTGAAGTTGAAGTTGTACTCTGGCACCTACCATGCTGAATATGAAGTATTACTCTGGCACCTACCATGCTGCAGATGAAGTATTACTCTGGCACCTACCATGCTGCAGATAAAGTATTACTCTGGCATCTACAATGCTGCAGATAAAGTATTACTCTGGCATCTACCATGCTGAAGTTGAAGTATTACTCTGGCACCTACCATGCTGTGGATAAAGTATTACTCTGGCACCTACCATGCTGAATATGAAGTCTTTCTGTGGCATCTACCGTGCTGTAGATAAAGTATTACTCTGGCATCTACCATGCTGCAGATGAAGTATTACTCTGGCATCTACCATGCTGCAGATGACGTATTACTCTGGCACCTACCATGCTGCAGATGAAGTATTACTCTGGCATCTACCATGCTGTAGATAAAGTATTACTCTAGCATCTACCATGCTGAATATGAAGTATTACTTTGGCATCTACCATGCTGCAGATAAAGTATTACTCTGGCACCTACCATGCTGAAGATGAAGTATTACTCTGGCACCTACCATGCTGCAGATGAAGTATTACTCTGGCACCTACCATGCTGCAGATAAAGTATTACTCTGGCATCTACCATGCTGTAGATAAAGTATTACTCTGGCATCTTCCATGCTGAATATGAAGTATTACTTTGGCGTCTACCATGCTGCAGATAAAGTATTACTGTGGCACCTACCATGCTGAAGATGAAGTATTACTCTGGCATCTACCATGCTGTAGATAAAGTATTAGTCTGGCACCTACCATGCTGCAGATAAAGTATTACTCAGGCATCTACCATGCTGCAGATGAAGCATTACTCTGGCACCTACCATGCTGCAGATGAAGTATTACTCTGGCATCTACCATGCTGTAGATAAAGTATTACTCTGGCATCTACCATGCTGAATATGAAGTATTACTTTGGCATCTACCATGCTGTAGATAAAGTATTACTGTGGCACCTACCATGCTGAAGTTGAAGTTGTAATCTGGCACCTACCATGCTGAAGTTGATGTATTACTGTGGCACCTATCATGCTGCAGATGAAGTATTATTCAGGCACCTACCATGCTGCAGATAAAGTATTACTCTGGCACCTACCATGCTGCAGATGAAGTATTACTCTGGCATCTACCATGCTGCAGATGAAGTATTACTTTGGCATCTACCATGCTGCAGATAAAGTATTACTCTGGCACCTACCATGCTGAAGATGAAGTATTACTGTGGCACCTACCATGCTGCAGATGAAGTATTACTCTGGCACCTACCATGCTGCAGATAAAGTATTACTCTGGCACCTACCATGCTGTAGATAAAGTATTACTCTGGCATCTACCATACTGAATATGAAGTATTACTTTGGCATCTACCATGCTGCAGATAAAGTATTACTCTGGCACCTACCATGCTGAAGATGAAGTATTACTCTGGCACCTACCATGCTGAGGTTGAAGTATTACTCTGGCACCTACCATGCTGCAGATGAAGTATTACTCTGGCACCTACCATGCTGAAGTTGAAGTATTACCTGACACCTACCATGCTGCAGATGAAGTATTACTCTGGCACCTATCATGCTGAAGTTGAAGTATTACTCTGACACCTACCATGCTGCAGATGAAGTATTACTCTGGCACCTACCATGCTGCAGATGAAGTATTACTCTGGCATCTACCATGCTGCAGATTAAGTATTACTCTGGCACCTACCATGCTGCAGATAAAGTATTACTCTGGCACCTACCATGCTGCCGATAAAGTATTACTCTGGCACCTACCGTGCTGCAGATGAAGCATTACACTGGCACCTACCATGCTGCAGATAAAATATTACTCTGGCATCTACCATGCTGCAGATGAAGTATTACTCTGGCACCTACCATGCTGAATATGAAGTATTACTTTGGCATCTACCATGCTGTAGATAAAGTATTACTGTG